GGCCCAGGTCTGGGCAGGTAGGCCCTGCTCACCCTCTGACCACCTCTGAGGGTCAGGTTGCTCTTTGGGGCTTTGTGCCATGTCCGTCTGAGTTCCTTCTCTAAGCCCAAACGACACGTACTCAGTTGAGTGGATTCATACTCACAGCGCCCCTAGAGGACATAGCGGAACTGCCCCACAGGGTCTCCCAGGCTGTCAGTCTTCAGAGAAGCAAAGCCCAAACCACACCCACTGCCGCGGAGTCCATTCCGACCCACAGCGCCCCTAGAGGACAGAGTGGAACTGCCCACAGGGTCTCCAAGGCTGTCAATCTTCACAGAAGCAAAGCCCAAACCACACACACTGCCGTGGAGTCCATTCCGACACACAGCGCCCCTAGAGGACAGAGTGGAACTGCCCACAGGGTCTCCCAGGCTGTCAGTCTTTAGGGAAGCTGACTGTGCACCCTTCTGGCAGGGAGCAGCTGGTGCTCCACGCCACGAGGGCTTGAATGCTGAACCACTGAACCACTGAACCACCAGGGCTCCTGGGCCTCCTCTGTCCACCCTCTGAATCAAGAGTTCCCAAATTTGGTGCTACACCCTCCCCTCTTCTCGTGAACATTGGGGCATCACCTGCTGAGGGCTTGCCTGCCTTGTACCCACAGCCTGAAGGCCCCCAGCTGTCCATCCTCACCTCTAAGTGCTGTTGTTAGGTGCCATTGAGTCGGTTCTGACTTCCAGAGACCTCACGTACAACTGAACAGAACACTGCCCATCCCGTGCCAGCCTCACAGTCCTTATTGCCTGAGCCCATCTTTGGAGCCACTGTGTCGCCCCGGCGCCTTGGAGACCCTCCCTTTTCACAGTGACGCTCCACTCTATCAACCATGATATCTTTCTCCAGGAACTGGTCCCTCTGATCACATGACCAGAGTACAGGGACGAAGTCTGCCCGTTTTCCCTTCTAAGGAGCATTTCTGCTGCACTTCCTCCAAGACAGATCTGTTCATTCTTCTGGCAGTCCAAGGGGTAGTCAGTACTCATCACCAGCATCACAGTTCATACGCACCGATTCTTCAGGCTTGCTCATTCACACTGCAGTCTTCACACGCATATGAGGTGACTGAAAATACCTTGGCTTGGGTGAGGTGCATCTCAGTCTTCAGAGTGACATCTTTGCTCTTTAACACTTTAAAAGAGTCTTTGGCACCAGATTTGTCCAGTGCACTGTGACATCTGATCCTTTCTTCCTTTTATTTATTTATTTTAATTTTATTGTGCTTTGGGTGCAAATTTACAAAGCAAATTTATTTTACATTCAGCAGTTCGTGCACTTTTAATTTCACGCCCCAATTACCATCCGCGACCATAACAAACTCCTCCCCTCTCCTCCCTGTGACTCCCTCCTCCCTGTGCTGTGCTTGACTATGCACTTCTGTCTGTCCAGCCTCCCTGTGTGTGAGTGCTGCCCCTCTGGTGTCTCATGGCCGATTGCTCCAAGGGGTGCATCTCCCAAGAGTAGGTTGATGCATCGCCCTGGGGTAGGTGTTCGCATGTAGGTCTTTCTACTGTTGGGCTGAGAGCCAATCTATGGAAGTGAGTCCATTTCTAGGCCCTAAGAGTAGCTCAGGGCCACAGCCTTGGGGCTTCCACCAGAGTCTACCCGACCAGTAATTCTGGTCATCTTTGTGTTTTTCAATCTTATTCCACATTTTTCCTCACTCTATCCAGGATCTCCAGTTTTGAACCCTTTCTGAGTGGTTGGCATTGGTAACCGGGCACCATCTAGTTCTTCTGGTCTTGGGGTCAGGAAGGCTGAGGTCCTCATGGTCCAGCTTATTCTTGGACTCCTTGTTTCCAGATGTCTTTGATTTTCTTCTCTCTCCTCTGATCATTTCTTGACTGTCAGAAGAGACTCTATGAGTGTTGATTGTGGATCCAACTAAAATGAAATCTTTGACAACTTCAATCTTTCTCTATTTATCATGATGTTTATTGGTCCAGTTGTAAGGATTTTTGTTTTCTTTATGTTAAGATGTAATCCTTACTGAAGGCTGTAGTCTTTGATCCTCATCAGTGAGCGTTTCAAGTCTTCTTCACTTTCAGCAAGCAAGGTTGTGTCATCTTCATACACAGATTACTAATGAGTCTTCTCCAATTTTGATGTCAAATTCTTCTTCATATAGTCCAGCTTCTTGGATTATTTGCTCAGCAGACAGATTGAATAAGTATGATGAAAGGATACAACCCTGATATACACCCTTCCTGATTTTAAACCATGCAGTATCCCCTTGTTCTGTTTGAGTGATTGACTCTTGGTCTATGTATAGGTTCCTCATGAGCACAATTAAATGTTATGGAATTCCCATTCTCCTTAATGTTATCCATAATTTGTTATGATCCACACAGTCAAATGATTCTGCTTGGTTAACAAAACACAAGTAAACACCTTTCTGGTATTCTTTGCTTTCAGCCAAGATCCATTGGACATCAGCAACAACATCCCTTGTTCCATGTTCTCTTCTGAAATCAGCTTGAATTTCTGGCTGTTGACTGTCAATGTACTGCTGCAACCATCTTTGAACTGTCTTCAGCAAAATTTTAGTTGCATGTGTGTGATGTTAACGATACTGTTAAATAATTTCCACATCCTGTTGGATCACTTTCTTTGGAGTGGGCACAGATATGGATCTCTTCCAGTTGGTGGGCCAGCTAGCTATTTCTTTGTAATAATTGACTTTGTCTTCTCTAGTTGCTCTTTGAGACCTGCTGTTCAGCTCTTTTATTTCATCATTTCATCCATTTGCTTTAGCTACTCTGAACTTAAGAGAAAGACTCAGAGTCTCTTCTGACATCTATTTTGGTCGTTTCTTCCTTTCCTGTCTTTTTAATGACCTTTTGCTTCATGTATGACATCCTTGATGTCATCCCACAACTCGTCTGGTTTTAGGTCTTTGGTGTTCAGTTTGTCAAATCTATTCTTCGGGTGGTCTCTACATTCAGGTAGGGTATACTCAAGGTCATATTTTGGCTCTTGTGTTTGAATTTTCTTCAGCTTCGACTTAAACTTGCAACTGATGATATCAAGCTTCTCCATTGTCTCTTTCCATAGATGTAGTCAGTTTGACTCCTATGTATTCCATCTGGTGAGGTCCGTGTGTGTAATCACTGTTCATATTCTTGAAAAAGGGCACTTGCAATGAATAAAGTGTTGGTCTTGCACATTCCGCCATGCCATCTCCAGCTTCATTTCTTTCACCAAGGCCATATTTTCCAATTAACAGTGCTTCCTCTTTGTTTCAACTTCTGCATTTCAATTACCAGCAACTATCAATGCATCTTGATTGCATGTTTGGTCCATTTCAGACTGCAGAAATTGGTAAAACTCTTCCATTTCTTCATTTTTGACTTTAATGTTCAGTGAGTAATAGTATGACAAACTGCAGTGAATAGCGGCACCTGTAACCAGATGTGTCCAAAGTCAAGCTCATTCTCTTCCATCTGACTTCAAGTCCCACCCACCAGCATGTCCCCCTGTTCCCACTGAAAGGAACAGTCTCTTCCGCCCAGCCGGACACCAGGCAGCGTCCTTGACCCACACCCGAACACCACCCAGACCCATGTTCTGCCATCTCCCAAGTGCTTCGGAGGCTCCCCATCAAACAGACGCCCCCGAGTCACAGCTTCCCAGCTCCTGTCTCCCTCCCCAGTCCCACCACTCCCTCCTTTTTGGTCCTTGGTGATGAAAAGGCATTTTATCCTTTGAGCTCTGTTTTTCAGTGCACTTTATTCCTACCTGAGCAGCCCAGCACTACAAGTGGGGCCAATGGCCATTTCTGAGAACTCATGGCTCCTCTACGCTGCTCGTGGGGGTGTGTGCATGTGTGTGAGTTGGTGAGTGTGCCTGTGTGTGACTATGTGTGTATGCTGGTGTGTGTGTCTGTAGGTGTGTGTGCAAGAGTGTAAATGTGTGTGTGTTTGCATGTGTCTGTAATGTGAGTGTATGAACCTGTACTTTGGGTGCCTGTATGTGTGAGTGTCAGTGTTGTATGTTTATGTGTGTCTGTAGGTGGGTGTGCATGTGTCACTCATATCAGTGCCTGTATGAGTGGGTGTAAGTGTTCCATGTGTGGGTGTGTCTGTGTCAGTGTCTGTGTGTCTGTGCACGTTGGCATGTGTGAGTACCTGTAAGAGTGTATGTGTCTGTGAGTGTTGGTGCCTGTGTGCGTGCATTTGTTGGCATGGATGTCTGTAGTAGGAGTGTGTCTGTATCTGTGAGTGTCATTTCCTGTGTGTGTGTGTGCATGTTTGTGTGTGTGTGTGTCTGTAGGAGTGTGTGTGTCTGTGAGTGTTGGTGCCTGTGTGCGTGCATTTGTTGGCATGGATGTCTGTAGTAGGAGTGTGTCTGTATCTGTGAGTGTCATTTCCTGTGTGTGTGTGTGCATGTTTGTGTGTGTGTGTGTCTGTAGGAGTGTGTGTGTCTGTGAGTGTTGGTGCCTGTGTGTGCATGTTGGCATGTGTGAGTGTAGGGGTGTGTGTCTGTGTCAGTTCCTCTGTGTGTGTGCATGTGTGTGTGAGTGTTAGTAGGAGTGGGTGAGTCTGTGAGTGTTGGTTCCTGTTTGTGTGTCCATGTTTGCATGTGTGAGTGTCTGTGGGAGCATGTGTGTCTGTGAGTTTTGGTGCCTGTTGTGTGTGCATGTTGGCACAGGTGAGTGGCTGTAGCGTGTGTGTGGCCCAGCACGTTGTGGGTCCCAGCCTGCACCCTTGCAGGACAAGCCGGCCTGCTCCCCAGAGAAGCACCTACAGCCCTGAGCACCCTCACCGCCTACCTGCTCCCTCTGTGCTTCTTGGGAAAGTACCCGGAAAAAACAAAGTACTTGGCTGGTTGGCTCCCTAGACAGCTTTCTGTGAACCCAGGAGGTTCCTGAAACTCCTTTGCTTCCCATAACTCGCTTCCCTCCCACCGCACCCTCCTGGTCCTCCCGTCTTGGGCTCCCCGAAGGTCTGTTTCGGTTTCAGTTCGGCCCAGCTGCAAAAGGTCGACGCCCCCAGGGGCAGGAGCCAGTCGCCAGAGTCCGCGGCGGCGGCGCCAAGAGCCAGGTGAGGCTGCCAGCCAGGTGAGGCTGGGCGCGGGCCAGAGGGGCCTGCGACTGAGGGCCGCCGGGCTGCGGGGGTCCCTGCTCCACCCTGAGCACCTCCGAGGGGCCGGACGCTCAGTCTGGGAGGCAGCTGGGGCTGTCGATCGTGTCTGGGCTGAGCCCCTCCTCGGTCCACCCACCCAAGGCGAGGGCTCCCCAGAAATCGAGTGCGCGGGGATTCTGGGGGTGCGGGGCTGGGGAGGACTCCGGGGCCGGGGCTTCGCGTGTTGGGGGCTGCTGGGTGCACAGGCGGAATCTGGGTGTTGGGGGTACTCGAGGGTCGCCAGGTTCGTGAAGGGGAACTGACTGCCCCCGCCGACTGCCACCGGCAGGTCCTGCGCCAAGCCGCGGCGGTGCACCAGTCCCGGCGCTGGAGGGTGGGGGAGCAGGGGCTGCCCGGGACCCGGGGCGCGGCCGCTGGGCCCCCTCCCCAAGGTTGACTCCCTGAGGGCCAGCAAGGCAGGGCGGCCACATGCGCCTAGGGTCCTGTCTGGCGGCTTCGTGGGCTTCAGGATGCAGACCCAGCAGGAGCCTGGGGCTGTGAGGGTACCCGGGAAAGACCCACCGCCTAGGGGCGCAGCACCGAGCACTTACTCATGCACCCACACTTAGAATCCTTCACACGCCTGTGCGCACGCCTGAGCACACACTGACACTCACACTCACCTACCCATGCACACGCTCATAGACACTCGTGTGCACTTCACACTCACTGTCCATTCTTTGTGAACATTCACCGGCTCACCCACACACTGACCTACTCGTGCACACATTTACTGGCACACTCACACACTCACGGACACATCCCTCCATTAATACAGCTGTGTGTCCACCACCAGGCACAAATTCACATTCACTCCTGCACATGACTGCATGCTCACAGAGACACCGTGTCTCGTATGCACTCACACATACACACAGGGACTCACACACAGACACTCCACACACTCACATCCACACACATTCACACACAAGAGAAATGAGATTTGGAGACTTCCCTAAGCACGGGGCCCTCCACCTCCATTCCCGCCCCTTATGGTTAATTTCTGGATAAACACCAGTCAGCAACCCCTGCTTTCCATCTGCTCCCAAAACGAAAACCAAACCAAACACACTGCCATCGAGTCGATCCCACTCATAGTGACCCCTCCTTCAGTTTCCGAGGCAGTATCTCTACAGAAGTAGATTGCCCAATCTGCCTTCCGAGGAGTGGCTGGTGGGTTTGAACTGCCAGCCTTCTGGTGAGCAGTCACATGCCTTAGGCACTATGCCGCCATCTACTCCCAGGACTGGTTAATGATCTGCGTGTTCAAAGCCACTTTCTCTGTCCCAGCGTGGAGGAGTTGGAGCCCAGAGAGCCTCTGTCTTGGGGGGAGGGTGTGACGGGAGAGACAGAGGCACGGGCAGCCGGACTGCTGCAGTGGACAGGGGAGGGGCTGTTCCCTCCCTTTAAGGAGCTAAAGGAGGAGAAGCCGGCCCCAGGCAGCCCAGGGGCAGTGAGGCGTGTGCCAGGCAGGTGCCGGAGGCCAGCGGGGCTGTTTTCACTCGCAGGGTGATGGGCGGGGTTGGGTACATGGTCCCTTTAGCAGCAGAATTTGTCCAGCAAAACCTGTTTGCTTACACGGTGCTCCTCACCCTCGTCTGAGTGGGACATGGTGTACCCTTGTCACAGCTTTGGCTCAGAGAAGCTAATACCTGGCCAAGGTCCCTGGGGGGTCTACCTGAAGCTGAAGGCCTCTCTTGGCCCCAGTCCTCAGCTCTGCCCCCTTCCCAGTGGGGTCTGGTGATGCCCTAAGGTGCCCTTACTGGTGGAGTGTGTCTTGGGGTACCCCACTTTCCTTCCCACCCATTCCATTGGGAAGCTTCCCACCCCTCCGACCCGGTCCCCCAGGACCAGCAGCCTGAGGGCACTGCGTGGTACAAACGGCAGATACGCTCAGCAGCTGACAAACGGGTGGTGTCCACCCCTGGCTGGGCTTGACCCTCGAACCTTTTGGTTAAGACCCATTGACCATCTGCACCACCAGTGACCGGCGGGGGACCTCACAGGCTCGTCCCTTAGGTGAGGCTAAAGCAGGTGAAGAAGCTTAGAAACGTCTGGACCTGGCTCTGACTGCGGGGTCTGGGGACGGGAGGCTGCAGGCTGGCGGCTGGCCAGTCGTGTGGTCTTGGCTGAAGAGCTGCCCCGCAGGCAGCCGACCACCCGAAGGGCGAAGGGTGTGAATGGCCAAGCTGGCCAGCACAGAATCCCCTCCACGCCCTCCGTGGATGACCTCACCACAGCCGCCTCGTGAGCAGGGAGGCGGGGCTCCTGGCTTTCTCTTTCCCTTCCCGTGGCTCACCTGCCCGCACGCACACCCTCCTGCGGGGCAGTCCAGCAGGCCAGGACGTGTTACATAAGCATGTCTTCGCTTATGTCAGCACTAGACGAGCTCTGTCCACAGCTCCCAGTAGGTGAGGAGCAAGGCTGACCTTTGGCCAGACCGTCCCCGGCCGCGATGTCCTAACCCTGGGTGCAGCCTGGGAGACTGCTCGGGAGACCCTGGGCAAGGCTGAGCCTGTGTGCAGGTTGGGCTTTGGGAGGGGCTGCACAGGGACCATGACTGAGGGTCCATTCGGACTAAGCACCTACAGTATACAGTGTGCATGCCAGGCCCGGGAGGGGGCGCGGAGATGCTGATGTCGCCGGAGTCTGGCTGAGGCTCTGCTCTGCCTGGCTGGCCCTTCTCCTAGCACCGTGTGTATGTGTGTGCACTCTGCTCATGTGTGCACTGTGCGTTTGTGTGCACATGCACACAGGTGTGTGCTCGGGCATGCATGTGCATGTTCATGTGTGCACGTGGTGTGCTGTGCATGCTCGTGTGTGCATGCACACGTGTATCCATACGTGCCAATGTGTGTGCATGTGGTGGCAGTAGCCAGAGAGCCAGGGAGCAGGAGGACGACCCTAAAGGACATGGCAGAGGAGGCGGCGTCTGGAAGCTGGGTCTCTAAGGGAGCTCCCAACCTCACATGTTCCTGGAGCAGGGTCCACGGAGGGTGCAGGCAGCTGTCAAGGTGGCTCACTCCATTGTGTGAAAGTTTCGGCCTCGCACCAGCAAACCTCTCAGTGCTGGGATCATTGTCAGAACCTGGAGCGTGTCCGCCAGAACTGAGGCCCAGGAAGCTCTGGACGGGGCAGCCGAAGCATGGGGGCTGTGCACAGAACCTTCACGCGGCCTCCCTAGGCCACAGGAGCCAGGGAGGAGAGGCACAGGCGGGACACAGCTCGGCGTTCCAGTTGTCCCTGTGCACATGTTCTTACGGCTGCACCAAGCCTGCTCTCGACACAGGAAGAGTGCGGACCGTTGCAGCCCTGCCCAGGGCTCTCCAGGGGCTGGGTCTCCTGGGCAGCTGAGGGACAAAACAAAGCTAATTCTCTGCATGCATCCTTTGAAAGTCACCCAGTGCACACCCCAGTCAGGAGACCAGAAGCTTGGTAGGACCTCTCCGAAGGGGCACAGAAAGCAGGTGCCCTGCCGAGGGGAGGCCCTGCTGGGTTCATTGTCAGGGATGACAGGCAGGGAGAGTTTGGGCTGCCTTTGGGCAACTGGGCAGGGTTTTGAGTATCCTGGCAGAATGTCCAATTTAGGAAGTTATTTCGTAAAAATGTTATAGGAAAAGGGGTGTGCGGGTCTTGTCTGAGGTGCCAGAGGAAGAGTTGTGATGCCTCTTCCAGAACCTTCCATCCACAGAAAGTTCCCTCGAAGACTACAAATGGGAAGAGCAGTGAAACCGAGAGGGCTGCCACCAGTTAGACAGCCAGCGCCGACGTCCTGGCATCTTCTGGGTGACTCGAACTCGTCCTGGCAGGAGGGGCGGCTGCTCCTCCGTGCCTTCTCCAAGCTCCTCATCCTAAGAAGAGAAAAGGTTACAATTGTGCCCCCATCCCTGAACGAGATGAATGTCTGAGAAGGTGTGAACAGAGACGAGAAGGCAGCTTATCTGGTAGGCGGGCAGCAGGTGGTCCAGGAGCAGACCCCGCCTCCGGCAGATCCAGGGTAGGCCCCGCGTGGGGCAGGGGTGCTGTCCTGAACACACGCTCCACACAACCGCCATTTTCTGGGGAAAAGGACAGGTGGCCCTGTCACATGCCGCTTATAAAAATGACTCCCAGGTGGATTTGAGATTCCAGCATGAAAAGGGGCAACAGGTGGGCCATCTCTGGATTCCCAGGGCCCAGGAGGCCTCTTTAAAAGGACTTGGAACTACAAAACCGGCTCTGGCGCCCCCGTGTGGGTCAGAGTGAAACTGCTCCGCACGTTTTCATTGGCTTGTTTTTCAGGTGTAGGTTGGCAGGCCTGTCTTCCAAGGCACCTTTGGTGTTGGAACCTCCAAATTTTCAGTTAACAGTATCACCCAGGGTGTCCCTCCTTGACAAAGGGCAGGTTGGCCGTTGTCAGTTGTCTGCATTGTAAACAGGTTCTCTCTAAATGGCTATTAAGTGATTTTGTGTTATTCCCTTTCCCCTCTTCTGGTGTTTCTCATTTGTAAGGCTAGGATCACTTAGTTTAAATGTTTTCTCCTGAGAATTGAGGGAGCCCACCCATCCCTCCGGCTGCCCTGGGGCGTTCCCAGTGTAGCTGGTCCAGAGAACGGCTGCCAAGCCCAAGCTTCGGACCCCTGGCTCTGTTCTGGCTGTAACCCACTTGTTTTCCTTCCTCCAAGGGTGTCCCGACATCCGATGACCAGGACAAGGGACTCCTGAGGCCTCCGTCCTGCCGCTGCCATGCCATCCTCTCTGCTGGCACCCAGCCCACTCCCCTGGCTGCTCTGCACCCTGCTGCTCCTGGCCACCTCCCTGAGTGGGCAATGTGGGGGTAAGACCCGGTCCCACCCTGTCTGCCGGGAGTGGGACCAGGCCCGCCAACCAAGGTCTCGAGAGGCCCCTGAGAAGGGGCACGGCCAGCACCTCCAGGCTGTGATGCCGAGGAAGGCAGTGGACAGGTGCCCTGGAGCAGGGTGCTGGGTGCCTCCAAATCGCCAGGGACAATGAGATTCAGGGCCCTAGTCTCCCCTTCCTGCAGCCCAGCATGTTCTCTGTGGCCCCTGAGGCCTGGAACCTGTTCCCCCCACAGAGGGGCCCTCTCGCGCCCAGTGGACAGGCAAGGCCACCACGTCCCTCCTGTGGGAAGTTGTTTCTCCTGTGTTCTGGGGCTCAGCCCATCTCCAGGGGTGGGGGCTGGGTTCCTGCCGGCTTGGGCCCCCTGACCATGCTGCCTCCATAGATGACGGGTGGGGCTGACAGATCGTGCCCAGAGTCCACTTGCACAGCCCCCTGTGTGTTGGGACTGAGCCGCGCCCCACAGGCTTCAGGGGCCGAATTTGTGGAAGTAGATAGCCAGGCCTTTCTTCCAAGGTGCCTCTGGGTGGACGTGACCCACCAACCTTTCAGTTAGCAGCCGAGTGGGTGTGAAATGTGTCCCCTGTGGAGTCTGCCGCAGTGGCTGCTGTTGTTCGGACGTCGTTAGCTAGGCTGTGTCTGGTCAAAAAGGTCTTGGTGGCAAGCCATGTCCTGACACCTCAGGGAGGGCAGGTGGCCTCTCCCACCAGGACATCTGCACTTTGCTACTAAAGGCCCCTCTAGTGGTTCAGCCGCGTTGCCACCACGGCCAGCTCATGCTGCAGTCCTTAGTAGCCATCCTCTCTGTCCCTAATTTGAGAACCGAGGTGGGGTGGGGGGGAGGAGTATGTCACGTGGGGGAGACAGAGGTGGGGGTACAGGGAGATGGAGGTCAGGTGGGTGGGAGGGAGGCGGAGGTGAGGTGGGGGAGGCGGAGGTCCGGCACACCATCTTGACCAGGGTGGATGCCATGAACTCGAGCCCCGTGAGAAGGACAGAGAACAGAGTCCATCCTTGTCCGGCCTGATGTTGGTGCTTTGGTGTGTCCTGCAGGAGCTGGAGCCAGCCGTCATGAAGTTGAACCCAGGATCCTGGCCCCACAGGGTCTTCAGGGAGGTAAGGCAGCTACTTCCTACAATACAGGTAAGCTGTAGTTTGTGGTTGCTGTCCTGCCGCCCTCTGAGCCCCCCGAATCCCTTCCCCTGGATGCGTGGAGCCACGGAGGGGTTCTGGAGATCCCACAGCCCAGCGAGGGTGGGACGTCTCATAACCATGGCATCCGGGCCCAGCTGCAATCTGGCCGGTGCGCACCCTCCCACCCTCTCTCTGCTGGGTTTCTCACAGATTTGGCTGTGGCTCCCACCAGACCCGGGTGTAAATGACTCTTAGTGTCCCAGCCGCCCAGTACCAGGCACCAGCCCTTGCAAGACCTCTCCTGGCACTGGGGTGGGGGTGGGGGTGTCCTATAGACAGAGCAAGACTGGCAAGGAGGGTGGGTCCCGTCTTGGCTGTGGCAGGTGGTGCGATGAGCCTGTCTCCTTGCTCTGGGCCTCCCCACCTCCAGTGAAGTCACAGGAGCAGCGGAAGGGCCCCTAGACCCCATAGAAGCCCCTCCCCCTATTCTCTCTCTGCTCTTCTCCGATTTCCAGCCCCTTACCCTCTCTGGGACAGCTCTGGTGCCTTTGTTTATGAACTTGGGGTCCCCATGCTCACTTTCTCAGCTGCAGTGGGCTCCAGGTGGAAGCCGCCTCAGGCTGGGCTGATGGGCTTTGATGTGAATTCGGGGAGGGGGAGTGGGAAAGGAAGGAGTGAGGCCAGAACACATTCTTGGGGCAGAGTCCTGCCCACCCCCACCCCATGCAGCCCCAGCCCCGGACCCCCAAGCTCTGATTCTGGGAGGTGCCTCCCCAGCCACCTCCTTTGCACATGTCCTGTGCCCCCACACAGCCATATATAAGCCCCCTGGGCAGAGACCAGCCAGCAAATGCCCTGAGATGACCTGTCCCCTCCACACAGTTTGGGACAACCCCAACTGCACCAGGGGTGTAGTGTTGGTGCCCCAGGGCGAGCCAGCTGTGATGACCTGCAAGATCTCCAATGAAATCCTGCAAGTGGTCATCTCGCTGTGCAACAAGACTGGCTGTCGGGAGATCATCCAGGTGACGGCCCCAGGAATCGCCACTCAGCATGGGTGGCGCCTCCAGGTTCAAGGCAGTGTGGCAGAGCTGCTGATCACGCAGGCCCAGGCCACCCAGGCCGGAGAGTACAGGTGGCTCCTGGAAGGACTCCAGTTCAACATGGAACGTACCACCCTGAACGTTTCAGGTGAGGTCCGGGGGCTGCTGCACCCGCGCGCTGTGCTAGTTGGGTACCAGGAGGGCTCACAGAGCAGGGCCTCTGGTCCACCCAGAGCGCCCAGGGCGAGGCAGGGGGCTCCAGCACCTGGGGTCCCGTGGAAGGAGCAGGGCCCTGAGACAGACGCCGTGCAGGGAGGGGCCAGGACAAGAGTGGGCAGGAGGCAGCTGAGGGCCACGGACCTCTTCTCGTCCTGCCAGCCCCAAACCTTCTCCCACTCACCCCCAGGTGCTGGAGTGTTGCACCTCGAATCTCCCACTCACCCCCAGGCACAGAGGGTGTTGTACCCCAAACCTTCTCACACTCACTCCCAGTTGTGGGGTGTAGCACAACCTTCTCCCACTCACCCCCAGGTGCCGAGGTATTGCACCCCAAGCCTTCTCTCACTCACCCCCAGGCACAGAGGGTGTTGCACCCCAAACCTTCTCCCACTCACCCCCAGGTGTGGGGGATGTTGTGCCCCAAATCGCTCACTCATCTCCAGGCACAGGGAATGTTGCATCCCAAATCTCACACACACACGGGGGTGGGGTACATTGCACCCCAAACTTCTCCCACTCACCCCCAGGTATAGGGGATATTCCACCTGAGAACCCAGTGCCTCTCAGGGCTCCCCCAGACCTTCATCGTCCCTTCCTTCCCTGACCGCTTCCAACCACTGGTGCCCTGGCTGCTCCCCCAGCCCCCCCTTAGTGAATCCCTCATGCACAGAGGAACCCCCTAGAGGGCCCCCTTTGGGGGTTGACTAGGGTCAAGCACCTAGTACCCAGTCCTGCCCTCCACCCCCCACAGCCCCACTCCTAGCCTTGACACTGTGACAGCAACCCCATCACGATTTCACCCCTCTCTAGCACCCCAAGCCGAAATGCCCCCCACCTTCCTCGCACCGCTTCACCTGCCGCCCACCTCCCAGTTCCGTCATTGTCCTGCCCTCCCTTCCCTTCTGTTACTCCCTGGATGAGTCCACCCTTTGCCCACTGGCCAGGTCCCCCACCGGTTCCGTCGCTGCTCCCTCCCCACCCTGGGCTCTGCCCAGGGCCAGGCTTCCGGTTTCATTCTGAGAAACATCCCCACCCCCCATGCCTCTCACACCCCTCACGCACACACCCCTCCACCTGCCCAAAGCAGCTAATTGCCCATCCCTGACCCACCTCCCACCCAGGAGATCCCCTGCCTGTCCTCCCAGGTTCCTGCCCGCACCACACCCCAAGACCAGTCTGCTCATCCTGCCCTGCTTTCCTCGAGGGGCTATGACTGGGGGCACCGGGCTCATCTGGGTGGTCCCCATAACTGGCTTGGCCTTGTCTCTGGCAGAACCCCATGACCTGAATCACACTTGGAATGGAGGAGGCCTCGAACCTCACGTGGGAGGTAGGTCCTGTGCGTCCGTCACTCCTGGAGAGGACCTCTCCTGGGCTCCCTGGCTGGGTGCTCTGGACAGATGGGGCACGGTGGGGACCCCTGCTCCTCACCCCTGACCACCATCTCCTGCAGCCCTGGAGGCCTCTCGGGAGGCTTGGCCCATCACTGTGGTCTTCACCATCTGTTTCCTGGTCCTAGCGGTGGTCTGTCTCATCGCCTGGCTTAGATGCCCTAGGTCCCAGCCGTACGCACAGGTATGAGGGGGCTGCATATGCAGTCGTGGGCCAGGGGAGCAGGGGGCTAGGATGGGCGCCACCCTGACCCCAGCCTGAGGACCCCAGCCCAAATGCTTCCACCCCAGGCCATGGTCACTGCCCCGTGGTCCTGCACCCCCCAGGGGGCACTAAGCCCCACCCGATTCAGCTGGAGGGCAGGGAGGTAGGGGCGTGGAGCCTGAGAACCCAGGTGCCAGCTCCCTGGCCAGGGCCTCCCACAGCCCCACTGCACCCCCAGCCCCTCCAGTGTTCCCTAGAACATGGGGCGGGGGGCACATGAGTGGGCTCCGCATTTCCTGCTCCTGCTCCAGGCCTAGAATCTCCTTCAGGGACAAACTGGGCTTTGTCTGAGGCCATGTAAGTGTGAGTGTGTGTGTGAGTGTGCAATGTGTGGGAGTGTGTGTGTGAGTGTGCAGTGTGTGCGTGGCCAGTGTGGGCTTATGTGGGTGTGTCTGAGTCTGTGTCCGTGAGCGTGTGTGTGTCTGTGTGAACAGTGTGGACTTGTGTGGGTTGTCTGAGTCTGTGTCCATGAGCGTGAGCGTGTGTGTGTCTGTGTGACATCTCTCAGCTCATCCTCCCTCCATCCCCAGATGAGGCATTTCAGCACCTTTGGCTACTAGGAGACCGTCTCTCCCGTCTGGGTCTTCACGCTCAGGACCCCAGCACCTGGAGTTGCAAAGAGAAAGTTGGCTGGTCCCGTCTGCAGATGAGCCCACTGTGGTGCAGAGACACTGGGTGGTGAGGGCACAGTGTCCTGGCAGGGCACAGCGGGGACTCTGTCCCATGCCACATGTGTCTCCTTGATCCTTCACACCGGAGACCAGCAAATGGGCCTGGCGAGAACCGTTCCCACTGCCTGGCTCTCTACTCCCTCAGGCTGTGGTCCAGGATACCAACACCACGTTTCAAAGCCCATGACCCGCTGGGATACCCTCCAGTCCCCACTTAGCACCAGGCACTGCCGCTCCCGTCTGCAAGGCTGGACCCAGAGTCTACCCCACACCGGAGGCCCCGAACAAATGAGGGTGGAATTTCCTGACTTTTGCATTAAATCTGACCTGGTCACACACCTGTCCTTTGGGTGTGAACTGGAAGAAGCTCTTGGGGACCCTTGTAGGAGGGGTCCCAGTAGAGACTGGAGATTAGAGACCAGCGCTCTCCCCACCACCATCGGGGTTGGAGCAGGTCCTGTGGTCAAGACCCCAGGAAAGCCTCTCTGATGAGTGTGTTACCCTGAAGAATACAGGGTATAGCTTGCCTACCCTGTGGTCTCTCTCTTTGGAGCCCTCTGGGCCTCGGGTTCAGGGCAGTCAGGGCACCCCAGCACCCCCCCCATCCCTGATCCCAAAGAAGGTGCCTTCCACAAGGTTATATCCCTTGGCTGGGACAGTCCGGCTGTGGGAATGCTTGAAAGAGGGGCCAGGAGGGCGGCTCCAGGTGCTGGGAGATGCCTCCATCTGCTGATGGTGCAGCTGTCCATGACTCGGGCCCAACGAGTGGGAAAACAGCACTGTGTTCTGCAGAAATGGGAAGAATCACAGACATTAAGGGAGGTTTCCATTCAGGTTAAATATATTCTCAAATCTATCTTCAAAGATCCCAAAGTAAGGTTGGGGTGGTGAGTGGGGTCCAGGGTGGTGACTGTGACAGCCTCCCCACAACACCGTCAGCACGTTGGCTCTGCCGTGTGGATTTGCATCGGCACAGTAAGCCCCCGCCTGGCCAACGGGCTCTGGGGACCACAAGTGCCTATGACATTTTGCCTGAAAGGGACTGAAACGAGAGTGGAGGTGTTGAAAAGTATCTGAAAATAAACACTTCTGTTGCTGTGTTGGTAGGAATCGCGATGTCCCCAGGTGAAACCTGCACTGAGGCGCTGGCCAGCCTCCTGCTCATTTCCATTCCTGCTCCTTTATCTGCATTTTCAAGATTTCCAGGGAGATCTGGTCCTGTGTTCTGACAGTGCCCTTGGGGCCCAGCTGGGACCCCATCCAACCCCGTGGGAGCTCTCTCCTGACCTTCCCTCTCCTTATTGTTGGGAAGACCTCCTTTGGATTTAACCCTAGCCTGGCCACACACCTGCCCTTGGACAGTAACAAGCGCTTGGGGTCCTCCTGTCCCATAGCTGTAGCTGGTCTAGACTACGGAGGAGAGCACCACCACCACCACCACCAGGGGCGAGCAGACCCAAGGGCCAGGGGGCAGAGAGGGTGGGGGCAGCCGCCTCCCGGGGTCAGGCAGGCCCTCTCCCTCCGTCTCTTCCCCTCCCTCTCTGGGTCTCTCCCTCCCCCCTCTGTCTCTCCCTCCCCCTTGTGTCTCCCTCCCCCTCTCTGTCTCTCCCCCTTCCCTTCTGCCTCTCCCCCCTTTCTGCTTCTCCCCCTCCCCCTCTATCTCTTCCCCCTCTCCCTGCCCCTCTCTCTTCCTCTCCCTGCCTCTCTATATCTCTCCCCTCTCCCCTTTTCTCCCTCCCCCTCCCTCCAATTCTCCCCCTCTCTCTCTCTTTCCCCTCCCTCTCTTCCTCTCCCTCTCTCTCCCCTTCTGTCTTTCCCCCTCCTCTATTTCCCCCTCCCCCTCTCTCTCTATCCCCTCCCCTTCTCTCTCTTTCCCCTCCCTCTCT